ATTAAATAAAATTATTAAGTGCATTACTACCTATAGTATATAAAATTAGAGTTAACTCTTGTCGTAAACCCGATAACAAGAAAAACAAGATTGGGTAAGTACTTTATTTCTTGTTTTTCACACTTATTCTTTATTTATTATTATAAAAGTAACTAAAACCTAAAAATATGGATCTTTTTAAGTTATTTAAGACTAGATTAGGTAAAATAAGTTATAATAATAATAATATAATTAAAATGGTTCACGAGGCACGCACGGGAGCAGCTTATGGGTAACGTAATTCAATAGCGTAAGGTGAGCTGCATGTTCACCGAGTAATTCACAACTTATAATGGCGTGGATAGTAATTAGACACAGTTCAAAGGGAAATAAAACAATAAAATTTAATTATAAATAGATCTTTTCTGTTTCAAACTTAGAGCTACGTAGGATAAACGAATGTAGTTTCATTTTAGAATTTGAAGTCATTCCAGAAAAAAAAAAGGGTAATTTAGGTTTATTTCAATTTTTTTTTGGTGATTATGAAGTCGAACGAATCAACTTATCCTATTTTGACATAGGGTAGCGAAAATAACATAAACTATAAAGTTTTACTGGAAAAAAAACTTTGAAATACATTTAGGTGGTTTTCGGATTACACAAACGAAATTTGAGATTTTTGAGATGAGGAAAAGTATTTTTAATTTTAACATGAAAATTACTTTGCACATGGACTATTCAAAACAAATATTCAATATGTTAATGGACAATTCTTTATTTTACTGTACTAAAAATAATTCACTAAAAAAAATATGATTTTTTGTATGTGAAAGACTTATGAACTAAAAGACTGCCAAATATTGAAAGTTAGAAGTATTAAATATATAAAGACTTTAATCCTTTTAAATTTAGTACCAAGCCAAACACAAAATAAAAAGTAAAATTAAACTTAAGTACTTTCATATTCTTTAAAAATAATTTTAACATTTTCAATGCTTACAATATCAGTTCTTCAAATAAACAGGCAAAAAAATTTAAAGTTACATACTTTCCATTAGCCTATCTTGAATAACTCAAACACAAATCACACAATTTTAATATATTACTCTTAATTAAAGAGTTATCTTGCTATACACTATAAATTACACTAAGTAACAGCATTATACTCAAACAAACTGTTTAATGAAGTAGAAAATCTCACCTCTGATTATACTGTATTGCTCAAAAATATGCAATGCTTACAGTAAATTATAATATGATTCTTCTAGCAAAGTGCACCAAAACAATACTGAAAAGCTTTACAAAGCAAACATGTCAAACAAAGATGTAATTTAATAAAGAAGCTTCTATAAAAGTTATATCAATATAATGTAAGGAAATTTGTTCAGACTATTTAACTAAATTTAGTAATCTCCATATTGGATCAAAAACACAGCAATATTATAATTAAATAATATTGCACGATATGATGTGTCTCTATACCAAGTGACCGACAGAGATAGCTAATGAGAGAAATATGGTAATTATAAATAAACACAGGAAACAATTATTAAATCAGATATTTGATGACATAATTTTTAACCCATTAACTGCGGATGACGGAGATATCCGTCAGTCGCACATACATAACTATAACTCTATGTGAATGACGAAAATTACCGTTTTTTTGTGATTGATGGAAACTCAGTTTTATCTGCGAGTCAGAAAACGGCAACTGAGCTGCTCCTGCCACAGTTAATGGGTTAACTAAAGTAAGAAGAAAATAAGACCTGGTATAACAAGTGCAAACTGTTTATGAAACCACCTATGTCTGCAGGTCATGAACTTTATAGTACCTGTTGCATAAGTTTGGTCAAAATCCATTCATTCTGTACTGAATTATGTCCAAAAGGTTGTAGAAGTTTTACTAGGCACCAGTAACATTCTGACCTTTGACCGATGACTTCCAAGAGTTAAATAGATCTAGAGTTTTGTATATAGTACCTATTGTATAAGTTTGGTAAAAATCCTTTCCGTAAGGTTAGGACAGAAGGACTAAGGCAAACCAATATGCCCTGCTCTGCAAAAGCTTCTCAATGGGGCATAATAACATTCTGTTGCTGTTATTCCTATTGCAAACAAGCTCATACTGGAAATTCATTTTAATGACTGTATATTATGAGTGTACTTTTCTCTGTGCAAAAATAGCAGTGACTAAGAACATTACCAACCAAACAGAAAGGTGCAGGCTAAAGACATTCATTTTGAAAACATAGCATTTTCTATATCCTAACAAAAAACTCAGACTTATGGGGGAATTTGTGATCTGTATCATGTACAGTACTCACCTTAGAGCAGCATCATCCAACTCTTGTGGTCGGTTGGTAGCACCCATAACTAGAATTCTTTCTTCAGTGTCAGACAACAACTACAAATGTTAAGAGGCATGATGTTTTGTAAGTAACTTTATAACATTCAACTACAGGTCTACTAAAAATTTTTAGATGTATCATACGTATATACATAGAATAATATATGTTACTAGCTGACATACCTGTTCAGTTCATAGGGAGGGCCAAACCAAAACACTGACTCCCCTTGTCACTCCCTCGGGTGCCACTCCCCAGGATGCTTCAAAGTAGGATATAGCATGAGGAACACATAGGGATCTGCAGAGGGGATGACATCTGAATGGGGGGTTCTAAGAGTACATGTCAACTTTGGTTAAGAATGGTCAAAACTATACGTTTAAAAGGAAGACACAAAGTGAAGACACCAGAAGGAACCTGGGGGTTGGGGGTAGGATAGGGGGGTTCTGATTCAAGTACCAATCCCCCTAAGACGTGAAAACCGAACACAAAGACACGTACATGACACTTCCGCTTTATATATACACGTATATGTTAGAAATAAATATATGCCTGCTACTATTAAAAAACAAACTACAATTACAAAACATATCAACATTATGGTGTGATATGAAAATAAACTCTAATCATGTAAAATTATTTATTCATATAAGCATGAGACATTTATTCATTAAATGGAACTAGAGTTTTTACTATGAGGAAAAGAAAGTATAAATTCGGGCTCTGACATCAGTAAAAAATGTATTCTTTGCCTTTGTTTCAGAAATAATACACCCATCATGTGATAAGGGAAAAAAAAATCATCATATACAATGTATCACTTCAGTATTGTCAATAACTAATAGGTCTCCAGAGCTATTAAATTCATAAATTGAAAAACATTTAATAGCAGGACCAGAATACACCAGTTAACATTTAAAAAAATCAGTTTTTAAATAAAATACTCCTTATGTAAATATGAAATAAACATTTATATAAAAAAATAACATTTTTTCTACAGTTACACCCACCCCCAAGTTGATCATTACAAAAACAAAAAGAAGCTCCAATATTCATTTGATGGTGGTGGCAAACAATGCAACTCTGTTGACAAGATAACATTTTAACCAACATATCAGTATTGTATTACAGGGTTTTTAAAAATCAACATTTTTTTTATACTGCTCTACATATGATTCACTTTTAATTTATTTTTATTTCACACACACACACAAAAAATCAATCAATCAGATATACCCCATCAAATTCAACAAAGAATTCTGTCTTCAGTCGACGACTTGCTTCATGTTCATTTTCCTTTCTTTCACTCAACAGAGAGTCAACTTCATCTAGATAAAATAAAATCTAAAGTAATTCAAAATAGTTTACTTATCTTTTACAATTTTATCTTGTGTTTGATTATAAAAATAACAAGTTCTGTAAAGACAAGAGATGAAATATTCTAGATATAATAAATTATTGGACATAATGTTGTATGTTGAATAATATTTACACAAATATCAATAATGACAAAGACCATTTCAAAAGTACAATATAAATACTAAATATGTAGATTTTTTTGTAATGACATATGGCACTGGAAGATCATATTAGTATGTCAATATTTGCCACCAACAGCATTATATGTTAGTTATTTTCATAACAGGTGACTGAAAAGGGAATTACAGAGCAGCAACTGCAAGTGATACTGGTTTTGCACTTCTTGACAATCTGCTGAACAATATCACCATGACCAACGTTGAAAGCTATGTATCCTGGGAAAAATAAAGTTGTTCTCTTGCAACATTATGATGTCAAGCCCCATTTTGTTCAACTGTAGTAATATGTAGTAAAGCTCCATCTTATTCAACTACAGAAACCTCTGCTAGTCACATGTAGTGCTACCCACTGACAGCCAGTAGCAATATATCACCGGTAATAAGGACTCAAAAGCTATCCGTCACTGGTAGTCTGGACTCGAAAACTATCTGTCACTGGTAGTCTGGACCCAAGCATTTTTGATCATTATTCATAGTCAACTAAATTCCTCCACCGGTTACCAATCACATACCACTACTGTACCTTTTACAGTTCTAACAGTAACAAAATAACCTCTATTCATTACCTTAAGTTATAGTCACCTGATTCCTGCATCAGTTACAACTCACACACCACCTTCTAATAGGAGTCACTTGGTGTACTTCAACAGTTTTAATTATGACAAAATAATCCTACATCATACAAACTACTCTTAACCGAACCCAATTACTACCAGCTACTAACTTTCTTAGTAGGCAATGCAAGTCTTGCTATATTTCATTCCAATAATAAAACTAGTGGATGAAATTGTTTGAAACTTCATAAAAACTTTATAAATGCATGTATTTTGAGAAACATAAAGCCTGTTACTTTCGATAAATTTAGTTTTTTTGCATTATGATCTTTAATATCTTGGAAGATTACATTAGGAAATGGTATTTGTAAGAAATTATTACGATATTTATATTTGTTCCAGACTTGAACTTACTACTTTTTATGTTTTAGTACATTATTTTAAAATCCCTAAAAACTTTTTACTGTCCATAAAATGAAAATTCTGTCTATCTTTAATTTTTTTTAATAATCACGTACTCTCCTTATGGTTTCAAGTAATATACAAGACCCAAAAATAATATTTGTAAATAAACCTAAACAATAAATAAGTATTTTTATTTTTAACTAGGATTTCATTTTTATATATGTACATAAAAACATTTTAATTTTGTTTCATAAATATATTTTTATTTCAAGTTTATGTTTCATTGCAGCCGTACTTTTGTTTACTGTGTCGAATAAACCGTGGGGTTAGCAGCGTGAACTCTGTACGTTTTCCATAAAATATCTCACCCCTGTTAGGGGTCACTCTTGTTCAGCCCAGCACGGGCGCATTTGAACATTACTGTAGATATGATAGTAAGAAAGCTTTTCGGTACTTGAATATCATTTCTTTGAACTTTCAAACAAGTTTATTTCAACATATGTTCATGTATGTTGTTTCACTATAGAGACAAAACTAATTGCCACTACTAGCAAATGTATGTAACAGTTTATAGTACAGGTGGTTTCAATAAACACCGCCTGAGCCTGACCCCTTGTTACTTGATACATCCTGATAGAAGAGATTACCAAACGATACAGACTCCATAAATTACAAAGAAAATTACTTTACAACACTTAAAAGATTAATCCTGGTCACATTCCTCTCATTATAGGTAAGATTTATGTTGGAATTCAAAACTTTAGCTTTTCAGTGTATTGATACCCCAACTGTGAAAATGTCATAGCTCCCTGTATTATTGAGATTAATGTATTTAGCCTGTTTCACAACCAACATATATGGGTTTTATTGTTGTCACTAGTACACTGAGTTTTAAATCATTTGCAAAATATCAGAATAAACTTTATACATATAAATTAGGCTGTTTTAATTCTAAAGCAATAACAGAAGTGTGGGTCTTACTACAAAGCAAAGATTGTAAGAAGGAAAAATATAAAATTCTTATGTGATACTGGTACTAGTAGTATTACGTACAAATCACACAAGTTTATCATTCTAAATACTGAATCATATTATTATTATTATTATTATTATGAACTGAATATAAAATTATGCTAAATTATTGAACTTAAAACTACAAATTTAAATTCAAAAGAATATAAAAGATCACAAACTCTTTCAGTTCAAAGTCCTAAGTCTAATTCATGTAAAGACTTTGCACTCTCCATTCGATAGCTTTTAACCCTAACAATCGTCGATCAACTTTCCTAAAAATATATCTATTTTGAGTTAATTTTTCAATATAATGATTAATATAAACAGATATACGATGCAGCATGACTTAAGCTACTATATAAAAATAATGAAAGTCACGTACATCCCAAT